AGTGTGATACGTAATTGTCCACTTCTATTCAATGAGTAACACATGATGATAGATGATTACGAACAAGTTTTCAGTCTGTCACCTTGAATAACATAACCTAAGTTAAATAATCCGATCTTGCGTGATTGTTGCTTGGATTGATCTATTTTCTTAATTCTTAAGGTTGCCATTGAATTAAACTTAGAGAGCTTATTCTAGGTTGTTCAAGGGTTAGAATCTAATTGAAGAGCTTATTTCAGTAGTGACTATTAAGGGAAAATTTGGGTAACAGAGCTTGTTGTTTCCTAGGGTCAGTAATTCCATAATAACGAGATAGAATAATGTTACGGTTAGTTCATATCCAATGCATGTTTAGGTGGATCTTGAACCGAGAACTGGTTATTTTTAATTTGATATTTTCTATCATTGGAGATTTATTTGTTTCACTTTAAATTGCATTGATCACAACCCCTTTTATTATTTTGCTGTCATGTTTACTGTTTAGGATTTTATTTTATTTTTCTGTTGTCTTCGTTGTGGTTATTGGCATAGAATATATGATTTAATCGAATCATTCCTTGTGGGATCGACCCTTGCTCACTCTATATGCAATTTAGTAGTTAGGTTAGTAAGGTTAATTAATTTGGTGCATTCGACATGCTACCAAAAAGCTCAAAGGAGCCTTACTGGATAAGAATTTTTAGAACTCTGCTTCAGACAACAACTTGGTCATTCACCACTTATCTACAAAAGTTGTTTACTTATTGGTTTATGTAGATGACAATTTGATTACACGTAATGATTTGACCTATATTCAGCGGCTAGTTCATGAGTTGCATCAAACCTTTGCCTTGAAAGACTTAGGAGAATTAAGCTACTTTCTTGGCTTTGAGTTAGTAAGAATTGTTATTGGTCTTCACCTAAATCAATCTAAATATGCAGCTGACTTACTTGAAAAGGTCAGAATGTTTGATGCTAATGCTAGTTCAACTCCTATAGTTGTTAACACTAAACTAGTCAAAGATGAAGGTGCCTTATTTGAAAATCCAACTCTCTATAAGAGTGTTATTAGCAGTTTACAATATCTAACTATGACTAGACCAGACTTATCCTTTGTTGTGAATAGGTTGAGTCAATTCCTTCAAAATCCATCAATCTCACATTGGGTTGCCTGCAAAAGAGTGTTGCGCTACATTAAAGGAACCCTTTACGTTGGTTTACAGTTTCAGTCTTCTAAAAACTTGGTATTATAAGGCTTTCCAGATGCGGATTGGGCAAAAGATCTTGATGACAAGAAGTCCACCAGTGGATTTTGTATATGTCTCTTAGCAACTTAGTTAGTTGGGTTTCTCACAAACAAAAAGTCGTAGCACTAAGTTCAACAGAAACTGAGTATAGATTGCTTAATGCACTTGCTACATATCCTGTTTTCGATGCTCGAACAAAACACAATGAAATTGATGTGGATTATGTTCGAGATTTAGTTCTTTCAAAAAGGTTGGCTGTTCAATACATTGGCTCAGAGTTCTAGTTGGCTGATATCCTAACTAAACCCTTACCTATCACACGTTTCCAAATGTTGTGTAACAAACTTCATTTAATTTCTCTTGCCAACTTTAGGGGGGACTTACAAGCTAGGAAGGACTTACAGTCCAGAGAGGATCTACATACTAGGAAGGACTTACAGTCCAAGGAGGACTTCCAATCCAAAGCTAATTCTATTGCAGATTTAAGGAAGGGCATTCTGTCTCCACACCCTTCTTCTAGTCAGTCTGTCTCTCTATCAATTGTTGCTTGTCACAACTTATTGTCTGACCTGAAAAAGAATGTTGCCTGATCAAAATTGATTAGGACATTATACTACAATTGATTGTTTTGCTTTTGTTCACCCAAGCTTTTACAGCAAGGTTGCTTAGCTTGAGGGAGGATGTTATGATCACAAGCAGAACAATCCTCGGCAATCAAGATCACTCACTTTCAAGATTAAATGGATGGTCAAGATGTACAATTTATAAATACAATTTCTTGAACACTTGTAATCTTAGCATCTCACGTGTGTATTGTGTAGAAGACTACCACTTGCTGTTAGTCATCTAGGATTAGTATAAAAAGGCACTTTGCCTTCACGTTCATTGTATGAAAAATCATAAACATTTTTCCAGAAACAACAATACTCATATACTCTGTTTTTTGGTTATTTTTTCTGTTTGTTTCCTTGGAAAGTTTAACAATTTTCTTGCTTCAATTCTTGGACTGTTTCAATAACAATTTTAACAATTTGGTGATGTCTCAAATTCAACTTTTAAAATTTGATGATAATCCAAATTATTCAACTTCTAACATTTGATGATGTTCCAAATTAATTCAATTCTTAACACCCACTCAAGCAAATTAGCGATGTATAACAAATTCAGTTTCTAGTAACTTCCTTCGCAGGCTCAAGTTACAAACTCATTATTACCTTCAAATGGGTGGCTCTGATACTATTCATGCAGGAAACCGGTAATTTATTATTAAGTGCAATCACTTGATTAAAAAAAAAAAACCGGGAGTAATGCTGTTAGCCTTATTCAAAATATACTTTATCATAAATTTTTAACATATTAAAATATCTATATAAACTTCATTTACTTCCAAAACAATCTTTAATATTATTTCTCTTTCTACTCGATCTTCATCTATAAAATCACATTCTGGCTTTTTATTTTGTCCCTTCCCCTTCAGTGATTGTACATTTGCATATTAATATTAAAGAAGAATGATATTCCAACCTGATATTCACACAGCAGGTTTAAACAAATTAAATAAAGGAGAGCGACTCGCAAGAGATCATGAAGAAACAAAGTATGCAGAACACTTGGTCTAGAAAACATGAGTCATTCACGTATAACACATCATATATATATAAGCTAGTTTATGTATGCGGAACCCTAAGAGGAGCGAGTCACATGCAATCTTAATAATAAGAACCGATAAATAGTATATATTGTATTTTATGCAACTATATAGATGACTGTCGTATGAGGCATTCAATGCAATGCGTACGTGTTCAAAATCAACAGCAACTTAATGATATTGACATGACAAGTAGATAGAGTTTGATGATCATTATGATATGTGCTGACGTTTTATTTAGTCAATAACGTATGTAGAACTCTTACCACATCAATCTAAATAAATAAAGTACTCTGTTGTTACTGTGCCTAGTTGTCATTGTTTACAATAAGATTTTCTTCTTCTTCTTTTTATTTTTTCCTGTCATAAATATTTAATTTATCAGAGTAATTGCCTCATAATTGTACCCTCTTATATCAGTTTGTAGGTTTCTGCAGTCACTTCTGTGCACTCCGCATGTGAAAATTAGTGAATTCAGCCATTGAAGTATGACATATACAGAGTTTCTTTCTTTCTTTTCTTATTTTTATAATTTTAAGTTTCGAATGTATAGAAAAGTTTATATTTTATTCTGATGACAAAGTAATTATCAAATGCTTCCTGCTATCCTTAGTAGTACTCTCGTGAACCATCTTTGGCACATTAGTTCAGGCTCATATGTCAAGGAATCTCATAAAAGCTTAAGTTTTTCAATAGATTTTTGTTAAATTCACAGCCAGACTAAGGGGTTACTTGTTTTTTACATTTTAACACTGATATCTAAATAAATTAACTCTATAAATATAATAACAAGAAAAGACATGTGAATATATATAGATAAATTAAACTTATGTACAATCTTGATCGATCCTTATATTAACCGATAGTGATACTGATAAATCTCACGAAATAGGCCATAATTATAATTATGTTGATATGAGAAAAATATATATTAACCCTGTAGAAAATCAATGTTTAATTTTTCCTCTGATCTTAATTTTCTTTTTGGAAATTTATAATAAAAAAGTTTTATCATCAGCACTTTGGCGGTTTTCACTTTATGACGTACATCTCACTACTAAATCTATATCGAATGGTACTTCAACAAAAATCACAATCGTTGCAGTCATAATCATGATATTGATGGAATAGAAAAGATAGATTCCATAATTATGTGACTAAAAATAGAAAAGATGGTAATATTAGATCATTTAGCCACAATATGATCCGCTGTATATGTGGACCGTATAACGTACGTAGATTTATGTTGATTCTAGAACACCATCATTATTTCTTAGTAAGTGTCAATGATCATATTACTAACCAATAAAGCATATAATATGCACTTTCATTACACTATAGTTAAGTTAATTTTGCTAAACTTCCTACCATATACTTAAATTGTAATTCCTTAATGTTTATCGACCTATTGCGTAAAATTATACCGGTATAAACTGGATTTCTTAAAGCTCATTTAAATTTTTATATAAACAGAAACATTAAAATGTATATTAAAGACGCATAATAATTGTATTTATAAATAAAGTTTTGGTTATTTCATTTTGTAAACTGTAATATTTTGTTATTCACAAATAATATGTAATGATATAATGGAATATTTTAATTAATTAATGCCCCTAATATTAGTACATGTTAAATGAAAACTATTGAAGTAATTAGGAAAGAAATTCCAAGTAAATTTTAAGAGTACCATATTTTATTTATGATAAAATTTTAAGATAAGAGATTTATTGACAGTCAAAAGCAGCACTAGCTAAAGCTGAATAAGCTCAGACATTTTCCTCAGTGTATACCACAATAATCGAACGAAAACACGAACAGAGGTTAACAAAATCACATAAAGCCTGGAAGGAAATTAACGAAAAAAGACCACCTACGCTAATAATAAAGAACTCATGCACCCTAATACAAATGTGGTACACTTAAAGAGCAGGACATACAAAACCAGGAGGAGGAGTCTTTCCACAAGTAATCAAGACCTGGAGGGCAAGAGGGATGAATATATTGAGGTTAAGAAGCTTAAGTCTTATAGTTGTGCAAAGACAAATCGCTGCTTCTAGCTCTAGCAATCCTTTTAGCACTGGGCAGCATACATTTTCAACTGGGTTCCCTAACCCTACATGCACCAAACCTCCAAGCACATCCACACAAAGCCCTAGCTTAAGTGCATTTATAGGACAAGTTGGTTGAGTAGTTGGTGGAGGGTTGAGACCTGGAATTCCACCACCACCACTACCACCACCACCACCACCACCACCTCCACCTCCACCTCCACCGCCACCACCTGGAGGGCCGCCAATGATAGGTGGAAGAATGGAAGAAGGTGGAGGGAATGTGACTGGAGGGTTTGTGATGGGAGGTGTAATGACTGGAGGATTTGTAATTGGAGGTATTATTTCTGGTGGTGGAGGATATATAACTGGAGGTGAGATAACCGGTGGCTTTTTAGATGGTCCTCCATGATGTGGTGGGTGTTTGGTGGTTGGTGGGTTGGGGTGGGGAATTTTAGGGTGGGTTGACGGAGGGGCAGGGCGGTGGTATGGCGGCGGTCTACAAGGAACACAAGCGTATATTGGTAGCAGTGAATTTAACATAAAAATCATGAAGATGAAGAACATAGCTGTAACCTTTGAACCCATGGCTTAGGGTTCCTCAAAAGGTCGCTTGCAATTTATTCTGCTTGCATTTTGATGGGGTCGATCGAAGGATTTTATATAGCTGAATTTTAGGGGTAACACCGTCACTGGTTCTTACCTATCTTCCCCTGCCCCCCCACAAAAACAAAAAAAAAAAAAAACTAGCAGTATTATTAACGAAAAAATTTGCATTAAAACATGAAATGTGGAGAATTCCAAGAATACAAATGCGAAATTAAATTTGTGAATTGGAGTGTTGTTGGTACATTGCAAATTTCAAGACATAGTCCGTGACTGTGGCTCAGTTGAATCCGTGAAATTTGATTTCAGAACCGGTGGCTCAATTTCACAGATTTCCATGCACGGCTTCATCTCCTTGTTTGTTTCCTTATCTCTTTCTTTCTATTGCCTTTCTCTTAAGTCCCTTTTCTATTCTGGGTATATTTTCTTTAAGATATTAGATATATCTTCAAAGTAATTTTGAACCTAAAGCATATCTTTGTAGGGGTACTTATATTTGGTCCATCCTCTGTTATTTCTGTTGGCTGGATGTGAAGTGATGGTAGCCCGCTGACTCAAATAAGATACATAGAGATTAGGTTTCGCAGACCATGTCATACTTACGCACATTATTTTTGAGGTCCTTCACGATGTAAACATGTGAACTTCGTTTTGTTTTGTTTTTTTTACTTTTTCTTATATATGAATAAGATTTACTTCATAAAGTAATTTTTTAAGTAACCTTTAGGTGTCAAAGAAGCACCTAAAGTCACATTTAATTTTAAAAACATACAATTACGTACGTGCGACAAGAACTTTATGATGTTAAATGAGTTTGGTAACACTAAGTTTTGTTAGGAAATGTTCTTATTCAAGTTTATTATTTCTCTTGTGTTAAATTAAAAGCACAATTAGATCTTTATGACATCCTTAATTATTCCTTGAATTATGACCATGTCAACACAATGTTTATTTCAGCTGAAAATCAGATTTCAAATTAAAATTGACAAGTACAAATAATCATGTAGCATCTCGCTAATGCAGAAAGTAGCAATAGCTAAGCAATAAGGGTTAGCATAATGATGTTGCTTTGATTCTCATAGATGTCCCAGCTCCAAAGAACACAATTGTGGAATAATTTTTTGATATATCTCATTCATTATAATTCTATCATATATATATTACCTACAAATAACATTTACAAGGAAATAATAAAAGAAGTAATTACAAAATATGACACGAAAAATATCTTATAATTGTTAGAGTAAGTGCCCTAGAGTCAATCTATTATTGTAAAATTGACTATGTAATAAATGTTTATTTATCAATAAAAAAGACATATTCTTCTATATCGAGTAAATCATAGTAATATGTAATGATATATGTCCTTAGGATGGTATAACTGTGACGAGGGTATCAAGTGTTTCAAATCTTGATAGTGAGAACCCTATGATCACATATGGTGGCCATTCTAGAAACGTCCGTAACCCCAATATTATTTTGACCAAGGACATAGATAATATGGTAAGACTATCATAGTGTTGAACGACCTTGTCGAAAGACAGTGATTGATTTCACTTGTCAAGGTTGTTTGCCGACAACTTGGTGCAACACATGAGTGCTTGCTAGAGACAAGTTCACTGGACAAACCCACCAGAGGATTCCATATGGATAGTAACCCTAATGTCTATGGAATAAATCCTCTAACGGATGGTGGTGCATGTGATCCTTAGACTTGAGATCACTGGAGTGTCTTGTGTATCAATTAGTGTAGTTTAACACTAATCCAACATAGTTCTATTCATGGCTATCAATACGGTAGTGATTGACTACATTGAGAAGTGCATCGAGACTATGGTGGATCGACAAAGGAATCATCACTCTTGGGTACGGGAGAAGTTATCTCACTAGATAATTTAGTAAATGACAATGACACTAAATCTATGGCCACAATGGATTGAGTTGTTGCTCAATCCAATTTAATATTTTTGTCATTGGTCTAGTAACTGAATACAAATATGTCGAGTATATCTAAGGTTGACACTATTTCTGTACCTCAGTCTCGATGAGATAACAGTTGATGAAAAAATTTGATTGCACAGTAACCATACTGTTGACAGGCTGCGGTTTCGCTGAATCCGAATCTATTGGGTGGCCATGATGCCTTGCTAGGGGCCAATCTTAGTCTGTATGTAGTGAGACAATTAATTGGTGTTAATCGCGATACTATACACTATCGATATGATGAGGAGCCTACGGGTCACACACTTAGAAGATAATTTAAGAATCAATTTGTGAGAAGAGCATTTTCGTCTTTCAGGACAAAAGAGTATTTTGGTAATCTCACAGTGCAATTAAATTTGTTGAGGTTTTTGCCTGTATTTAATTTTAATATTAAAATTAAATTAGTGAGATTATATTTAAATATATCTATGCATATATTTAAATGAATTATTATTATTAATTAAATGTTAATATATTATTATATATTAATTGGTTTTAATTATAATAATAATTAATTAATTAAATTACCATAAAGGGTGTGTTTGGTTGCAAGGGTGAATTAGGGTTGGAGCCCATGGCTATTCCTTATTGGAACAGGGTTTTAATTGTTGCACTATATAAGTGCAACTTAAATTAAAAACAAAAATTGACATATTCATTCATTCAATAATTAAAACCCTAGCCACCCTTTTACTCTCTCTCTCACGCCCCACCTATTGATTGAAGAGAAAAGTATTCTTTCTCTTCTTGACTCATTGAAAAAACATTGATTCTTGAAGCCCTTGATTGTTCTAGCAAAATAATTAAGGGTTCTGCGGATTGTCTTCGTGTGGATTTCCGTGAGTGCGATCCTACTTTCGATCGATTAGCGAAGAATCACATGAACAGTATTAATCAATAGTATCCGGAGAACAATGTCAATGAACAGTAGCCAGTGAATAGTGTTCATGAGTGTAATCAGAGATATTCAAAGGAGTCTCCAAACGTGTGTAAGCATTCTAAATCCTTGTATGGATTTACTATATTGTTGTAATAAAAAAAAAAAAAAAATTATAAACACTATAATCTGTACCCAGATTTGGGATTAAGCATATGATTGGTTTTTATTTGTTTTAAAATTGTCCGCTGCATAAACTCAATCACATGCTAACAATAATTAAGAGAGAATATATACTATAATTAAGAGAGAAATACAGGTAACAATATCAATTAAGAATATTGACCATATCAAACTCTTAATTGTAGGATATTATACCTTAATTCTAGCACTCCTCCTCAAGTTGGAGTATGAATATGACATATGCCTAACTTGTGTAAAGAGTTATATAAAGCACTATTGGCTATGGCTTTGGTTAGAACATTGACTAGCTGATCTTTATACTTCAAAAAAGGAAATATAAAGATTTGAGCTTCAAGTTTTTCCTTAATGAAGAGTCTATCAATTTCTACATGCTTCGTCTGATCGTGTTGAACTGGATTATGGGCAATCTTTATAGCTAAAGTGTTATGACAATAAAACTTCATTGCATCCTGAGAGTCAACACCCAACTTCCTTAGCAAATTCCTCAACCATAGTAACTCACACACTCTAAAAGCCATGTCTTTGTACTCAATTTCTACACTTGACCTTGCTATTACCGGTTGCTTTTTACTCCTCCAAGTCACAAGGTTTGTTAGAAACCTTCTTCTAACTTAACCTACTCAGTCACTCAACACAACCAAATTCTCCAAAACTCTCCTTCACCACAACTCACAAATACTCAACACAACAAACACAAAAAGAATATCACTAAAATACCTCTGATATATTAATAGTAAATTCCCAACACAATAGCAAGTTTGATCATCAATAAGAACATTCACAAATTAGCAAACAAGAAATGATAGTAAATTGATAAGAAGAAAAGTAAAGAAAAAAGATAACCAACTGACTTTGAGGACCAATTACCTCCCCAACCCAAAAAAATTCGTTCTAATCTGTTAGATGCTAGAACATTCCTTGTCAACCATTTTTAAGATAAAAAATCTCTCACCTCTAATAGAATTCTGTGAAACATCAATCTGTAGATGCCTTTTTCCACTGCCTTACACGAACTAATATGCAATTTAGGACATCCTTTGTTGGTAAATCTTGCCCCATCCTCTAATCACTCTCGTGTTTTCTACTATAGGCACGCACTGTAGAGGTTCATCATTAACCGCCCCCACCCACCCCCCCCCCCCCCCCCCCCCCCCCCCCCCCAAGGAGAGCTGCCTTGTCCTCAAGGTGGAAAAAAAGAAACTGAATATCAATATTGGCTCCATTAAGGAGTTTTCAGGTTTGCAACACCTCTTTCGGTTTGACTCGCAAAACAAGATCCTTGTCCATCCTTTAGGAAGGGCTTGGGCGTTAGGCGGTAGGTACTTGGTTTTCTTGAGTTGTGAGACATGGAAAACATCATGGATGTGAGTTTTTTCTAGTAACTTTTAGTAGTAGGCCATCGAGTAAATCTTTACCGTAACTACAAACGGTCTATGAAAACGAGGGCTTAGTTTTTCATTGTAATGTCAAGCCAAGGAGCGAAGACGCTAGGGTTGTAACTTCAAGTCTAATTCCTCGATTTCCAAACTAACTTCTCTTCACTTTGCATCTGCATAACACTTCATACGACCTTGAGCCTTGATAAGATTATCTTTCAACTCTTCCAAAATGACTTTGCAACTAATGGTTTACTTCATCTACTGTAGATCCACAATTTGAAAGTTCAAGGATAGTCGATGGATCATGACCATAAAGTGCCTTAAAAGAGGTCTACTAGTGGAACTGTTGTACATTGTATTGAACCAAAATTTAGCCCACGAAATCCATTTTGGCCGATGTCACGGCTGATGTCCAAAAAAACAATGAAGATATGTCTCCACACATAAATTAACCACTTCTGATTGTCCATCAATTTGCGGGTGGTAAGCAGAACTCATGTGAAGTTGCATTATAGACTATTTAAACAATTCACCCCAAAAGTGACTAACAAATATGCGATCGTGATCTGAG